TATACCCTGCCAGGTAATATACAATGTATTGCCCTCATTATAGCCTGCCAGGTAATATACAATGTATTGCCCCTCATTATACCCTGTCAGGTAATATACAATGTATTGCCCTCATTATACCCTGCCAGGTAATATGCAATGTACTGCCCTTATTATACCCTGCCAGGTAATATACAATGTATTGCCCTCATTATACCCTGCCAGGTAATATACAATGTATTGCCCTCATTATACCCTGCCAGGTAATATACAATGTATTGCCCTCATTATACCCTGACAGGTAATATACAATGTATTGCCCCTCATTATACCCTGCCAGGTAATATACAATGTATTGCCCCTCATTATACCCTGCCAGGTAATATACAATGTATTGCCCACATTATACCCTGCCAGGTAATATACAATGTATTGCCCCTTATTATACCCTGCCAGGTAATATACAATGTATTGCCCCTTATTATACCCTGCCAGGTAATATACAATGTATTGCTCTCATTATACCCTGACGGGTAATATACAATGTATTGCTCTCATTATACCCTGCCAGGTAATATGCAATGTACTGCCCTCATTATACCCTGACAGGTAATATACAATGTATTGCCCCTTATTATACCCTGCCAGGTAATATACAATGTATTGCCCTCATTATACCCTGCCAGGTAATATACAATGTATTGCCCTCATTATACCCTGCCAGGTAATATACAATATATTGCCCTCATTATAGCCTGCCAGGTAATATACAATATATTGCCCTCATTATACCCTGCCAGGTAATATACAATGTATTGCTCTCATTATACCCTGCCAGGTAATATACAATGTATTGCCCTCATTATACCCTGCCAGGTAATATACAATATATTGCCCTCATTATAGCCTGCCAGGTAATATACAATGTATTGCCCTCATTATACCCTGCCAGGTAATATACAATGTATTGCCCTCATTATAGCCTGCCAGGTAATATACAATGTATTGCCCCTCATTATACCCTGACAGGTAATATACAATGTATTGCTCTCATTATACCCTGCCAGGTAATATACAATATATTGCCCTCATTATACCCTGCCAGGTAATATACAATGTATTGCCCCTCATTATACCCTGTCAGGTAATATACAATGTATTGCCCTCATTATACCCTGCCAGGTAATATGCAATGTACTGCCCTTATTATACCCTGCCAGGTAATATACAATGTATTGCCCTCATTATACCCTGCCAGGTAATATACAATGTATTGCCCTCATTATAAATTATGAAGTAAATAAGTAAACTGTAAGTAACTACTTTCAGCCACACTCCCTGCTATGGATTATAAAAAATAAATGAATTAATAAATGAATAAACAAAGCAAACAAGACATAGAGCAGATTTCACTGAGAAACCGAGCGTTATCTATGTCGTCCCTTCGATAGCTCAGCTGGTAGAGCGGAGGACTGTAGAGGAGAAAACCTCAGATATCCTTAGGTCGCTGGTTCAATTCCGGCTCGAAGGACATATTTTATTTACATCATAGAAAGTGTCACTGGCTTTATTACATTTTATATCATTTATATAGAGAATTATAAACACTAATCATAACATATATCTATAATAGGATTATAATCACCAACAATAATATGGAAAGGGATTATAATCAGTATTATATATAATGGGATTATAATCACTCAGTATTATATATAATGGGATTATAATCACTCAGTATAATATATAATGGATTATAATCACTCAGTATAATATATAATATGATTATAATCACTCAGTATAATATATAATATGATTATAATCACTCAGTATAATATATAATGGATTATAATCACTCAGTATAATATATAATGGATTATAATCAGTCAGTATAATATATGTAATGGATTATAATCACTCAGTATAATATATAATGGATTATAATCAGTCAGTATAATATATGTAATGGATTATAATCACTCAGTATAATATATAATGGATTATAATCACTCAGTATAATATATAATGGATTATAATCAGTCAGTATAATATATGTAATGGATTATAATCACTCAGTATAATATATAATGGGATGATAATCAGTGAGAATGTAATTTATATAAATAGAATGGGATTATAATAACCCAGTATGATAGATGTGTCTCTTGAATTGTTTTTTTTTACAATGTTTAGAATTAGTGAAAGCTCAACATTTTTGCTCAATGAATGAAGGTGTAAAACAAAATGTTTCTGCCCGGTCTCGAACCGGGGACCTTTCGCGTGTTAGGCGAACGTGATAACCACTACACTACAGAAACCCTGATGGAGGGACCTTGGCTGTACCGGTATAGTACAATATGCACAGGACTGCATTCTATAGGCAGTTTATCTATATTTAATGGGATTATAATTGGATAGAGAGTCACATTATAATCACTCACTATAATATACACTGCTAAAAAAAAAAAGGTAACACTTAAACAACACAATGTAACTCCAAGTCAATCACACTTCTGTGAAATCAAACTGTCCACTTAGGAAGCAACACTGAGTGACAATCAATTTCACATGCTGTTGTGCAAATGGGATAGACAGCAGGTGGAAATTATATATTATAAATTATTATAAACTAAATAAGTAAACTGTAAGTAACTACTTTCAGCCACACTCCCTGCTATGGATTATAAAAAATAAATGAATTAATAAATGAATAAACAAATCAAACAAGACATAGAGCAGATTTCACTGAGAAACCGAGCGTTCTCTATGTCGTCCCTTCGATAGCTCAGCTGGTAGAGCGGAGGACTGTAGAGAAGAGAACCTCAGATATCCTTAGGTCGCTGGTTCAATTCCGGCTCGAAGGACATATTTTATTTACAGCATAGAAAGTGTCATTGGCTTTATTACATTTTATATTATTTATATAGAGAATTATAAACACTAAGCATAACATATATCTATAATAGGATTATAATCAGTAAATATAATATATAATGGATTAAAATCAGTCAGTATAATTTATAATATGATTATAATCACTCAGTATAATGTATAATTGGATTATAATCACTCAGTATAATATATAATGGATTATAATCACTCAGTATAATATATAATGGATTATAATCACTCAGTATGATATTTAATGGGATTATAATCAGTCAGTATAATATATAATGGATTATAATCAGTCAGTATAATATATAATGGGATTATACTCACTCAGTATAATATATAATGGGATTATAATCACTCAGTATAATATATAATGGATTATAATCACTCAGTGTAATATATAATGGGATTATAATCACTCAGTGTAATATATAATGGATTATAATCACTCAGTATAATATATAATGGATTATAATCACTCAGTGTAATATATAATGGGATTATAATCACTCAGTGTAATATATAATGGATTAAAATCACTCAGTATAATATATAATGGATTATATTCACTCAGTATATTATATAACGGATTATAATCACTCGGTATAATATATAATGGATTATAATCAGTCAGTATAATATATATATTTGTCTATATTAATGACTGAGAATATTGAATGGTTAATAGTAATTAAACCCAATGTATACTGTCATACTGCCAGGTGTGAACCTGGGTCCCAGCTCTGTGAGTACACTATAGTCTCTGTTACAGTAACTCTATCACAGCGTTGGTGGTATAGTGGTGAGCATAGCTGCCTTCCAAGCAGTTGACCCGGGTTCGATTCCCGGCCAACGCATAATGTTTTATACATGGGATGTGTTATCATTATTATCATATTTATAATTTATTCGTGGACTATGAGGTTATCATCATTATTACAATGCTTGTTATGTATTGATAAGTTTAATTAAAATACTTATTGTATTTATTAATTGTGCTTGTCTTTTATTGGGATGGTTAGATGGGTAATATGAGGTGTTTAATATAAATCATTTATCATTTATATTATGAATGGGGTATATGGAGGTGGAGCTAATGAAAGTGAGGTGCAGTAGTGACATGTCCCACATTCAGTAATCATGGGCTCTCAACAAGCAAAGAAGCTCTAAGAGACAAATAGAACTAATCTGTATCAGTGGTGACCTCACAGCCTCCCATATGGTCTAGCGGTTAGGATTCCTGGTTTTCACCCAGGTGGCCCGGGTTCGACTCCCGGTATGGGAAGTGATACTTTTATTAAAAACTCTTACAACCTCTGTACCAAAATATTGTTATACCTAAAACTTACATTTCTGGACCTTTATGGGGTTTTAGTGGTAAAATAAATGTTGTTATTAGTTTGACGGTAGACATGAGTAAGTAATGAATTCATTATAAATAAAAAATATTATTTATACAAAACATGTGGCAGCGGTGGGATTCGAACCCACGCCCCCGAAGAGACTGGAGCCTTAATCCAGCGCCTTAGACCGCTCGGCCACGCTACCCAGTGATTAAATTCCCCATAGAGGAGGATATTCACCAACCGATCTCCACTCTGTTTACCTATTTTTTTTTTTTTTTTATTTTTTTTTTCAATTTTGTAACTTTTTTTTATTGCTTGTAAAAATACAAAAAACGAGAATCACAAGGATGCAGTAACTGTGCAACTTTTGATCTAAAGGAGAGTGAGACCGCATAGCACCCTGTAAATTGCTCAATCTGAGCACTACATTACAGAGCTTGCCTCTGTCGTTGGTACAGAGATCACTGTACAATGTCCAATAATCCTCCCACAATCCAGGTAGTGGGTGTAAAGGGAACCAGATTGGTTCACAGACCCGTTCACGGAGGTGACACCACTGATTTTTATTGGCAATTATTTAACACCCCAAATTCCCCAAACAAAGTTACCCCCTTTTTAACCAATGCTTAATTTTCCAATAAGTGAAGCATAAAAATTTGCAATAACAAAAAATAAAAACTTTGTTATTATACACCCTTGCACTGGAGCTTGCTTCTTTGCCCTTCCTACATCTTTGAATGTTAATTATGTAACCATTTGGACCCATGGCAATGTAAAGCATTATTTTAACCATTTCTGGATCCACAGTGCGATATTCATAAAATTGTCTGATTCTGCATCCACCTTGGCTAGTGCATGGTTATTTCCAGGGTACCAAAGAAGCCGTACAGGCACATCATGAGCTTTCAATGCTCTATAATATTCCAGGCCCTGCTTGTTCGGCACTCGACGATCATCCTCTCCCAGCATTAATAGGACCGGGGTCTTAACCTGAGAGACATATCGGATAGGGGATTTATCTAACATTTCCCCATATTGAGAAGGATCCGGTGCAGCCTGGTAAGAGTAAGGGATACCGGATTCCACCAAACACCAGTCTGGTATATCAGTTGATCCAAACATTGAGAGCAGGTTAGTCACTGGGTTGCGAGCAATGCATGCTTTATAGAATCCTGGGTATTGACCAATCAAATGACACGACAAGAAGCCACCGTGTGATCCTCCACATATTATGACCCTGTTTGGATCCAAAGATTCTTCTTGCAGAACTTGCTCCACTGCAAACTGAACATCTTTGACATCTTGCTCTCCGACATTCTTTGGCAGGGAAAGAATGCTGTCCTGTCCAAAGCCCACTGATCCTCGATAATTTACTAGTAGTACAGCTAAACCCATGTTACACATCATAGCCGGAAAAAGCATCCATTCGCTGACAAAGGCAGAGTGTGGGCCTCCGTGAGGGTAGACGACCAAGGGAATTTTGCTCTCAGCAGGGATGTTCTGCGGCTTAAGGAAGATAGACTCAAAATTGAGGCCAGGATACTTTGAGTTCTCCTGTTCTTGAGGAGGTTGATGGACTTTGAAACTCCAATCTATATTAAAACCAGAATTATCTTCCTTCAATGAAACCCATGCGATGTCATCTTCTTTGCCATTAGGGGGTAAGAACCCCACTTTTATTGTAGGTGGGTGGTTTGGAGAGGAAAATGAGGTAACAAGTAGATCTCTGTCAATAGCCAACACCTTCCAGGATCCTGGTGGATAATTTCCTTTGGATTGGAGTGGTGTCAGCTTTCCATTTATAATATCCACAACAAACAGACTCTGTTTACTGCGCTGCACCGTATCAAGAACCACTCGTTGGCTGTCTGCAGACCAGCAGAATGAAGCGAGTAATGTGCCATAAATACCTGCAAACTGCCCATCAGTGCTTCGGGGCACAATATCTACCACAGTGGAGGTCACTTTTGTATACCAATCATACATAAGCAGTTTGCAGCACTGCTGATGAGGTCCAAATTGTTCACACATTAGATATACTATACGGCACTTGTCAGGGCTCAATCTGGGTGAAAAAACAGAAAGTCCGTGGAGAGTGTTTCACATTTGCCGCCAGTCAGGTCCACAAAAAACAGTGCAGATCTCCTATTGGGGCAATACTTTAAGCCAAGTCGATAAGGGGAATGCCACCAGCCGACAAACACAACTCCAGTGTCATCAGGGGACCAGAATGCCTGTCCTGGTGACACATATTCGGGTATTCCATCCAGTACAGAAATGTTGCCACTCTCGATGTCCATAACACACAAAACTGGAACACTCTTATTTACCAGGCCTTCTCCCCAGTCCTCATGGAACACAAACTGATCACCCTTGATAGGTTTTGGGATAGCATCTTCCTTCCCATCAGACACTCCTGAGCCAAGATTTTTAGAATCAATCTGGAAGAAGCTTTCTGTTTTGGGTCTCTTTTTTTCGGCAATATACAATAGATGAGATTCGGAATGGGACCAGGACAGACATCCAAACTGGTCATCCTCATACACCTTCCCATGCTTATCAAGAGAGGTCAGGTTGATGCTCTTTATTTTGCAATTCTTGTCCCACACCTCCAAGAACTGCGTGCTTTCCCCTTTGGCATTGGTGGTGTCTCGTAGGACAGCTTTCAGTGATCCAGAAAGGGACTCTTTGCTGAGTAGTTCTCCCTTGATCTCGCAGCTATTCCCACAGGCACCTGAATACACAATGGTGTTATTATCATGGAACACTATGTACTGTCGGCAAAATTTTACTTGCTCGTTGCGATCAAGATCTCTCTGTGTCCACTCAGTGTAGATGTTGCAATATTTGCCGCCATATTGCGTAGTGACATCAGGTCCAACGGTTGCACTGTAAAGTGTTGGATAATGGCTTAGGTCACGATACAAGGAAACTATTTCCTTGATGTTTTTGATGGGCTGCGCAGCCTCCGCCGCCATTCTTCAGGAGCGCTGTGAGCCCGGAGATAGAAAACACTAATTGCGGACGGCTGCCTCCCCCCCCCCCTGTTTACCTATTTTAACCTTTTGAGGACACAAGTAATTCTTGCAGTCTGTGTTCAATTGCTATTTGCATCTCTCTCATTTATTACATCAACACATATTCTATACAGTTTTTTTTAGAAGACAAAATCTTCTTTAATTCGATGTCACATTTACACCCCCACACATTAACTTGAGTGCTTTCCCTGGGTGGCCGCCAATCGTATAACCGAATGCCATTTTGACTCCCAAACACAGGCAACAGTACATGCGTCACAAGAACACAGCAGACTAATAGACGAAGTGATTTGTTCTCTTTTCACCAAAGGGGCGGTACAATTCACCCTGGACGATTGGGGCTTCTACAGCAACATCTTCCTGGTCTGGAAAAGTCGGGAGAATTTCGGCCAGTCATCAACCTCCGCTGGCTCAACGACTATGTCGTCTACTGACATTTCAAAATGGAGGGAATTTACCTACTCCGGAATCTCCTACTGGCCAACGATTGGTTCACCTGCCTCGACCTCAAGGACGCGTATCTTTCGGTACCCGTGGCGCCTACGTGCCATCGCTTTCTTAGGTTCGTATGGGGTCGTCGGTCGTGTCAATTTACGTGCCTGCCTTTCCACCTAAGTTCGGCTCTGTGGTGCTTCACGAAGCTACTGAAGCCAGTTATGGCCCATTCTCAATCCAGGGGCATACGTTGCCTTGTCTACGATGCAGAATCCAGACTGCGTTTCCAGACGAACTTTGTCGTTCACTTTCTGGAGTCTTTGGGCTCCATAGTGAACAGCCAAAAGTCAGCTCTCTGTTCCTCGGTTTCGCAATAGATTCAAGGGCATCCTTCGACTTCCTGCCTCGAAGATAGCATCTATCCGAAAGGAGATTCGACAGATTCTATGCATGGATATGGTTCCACTTCGTCTCCTCGCCTGGATAGGATTGCCTGCTTGGACAATTCTGGGTATTCTTTGCGTAAATCACCCCAAAAAGCAATAAGAGAAACTTCTTTACATTTTTGGCTTAGTTGACTGTCAGAAGTTCTATCGATCAGATTGTCAAAATCTACATCAGAAAAATTGGCTGGCTTGTCTTTTATGAATGGATTTCGTACTAACTCATTATTGTTTTCATTCAAGAATGGAAAATACTGATCAATAGATGGGATTAAATGACGAAGATGATTTACAATTTCAAGTTCAATTTCTTATTCTTCAAGAAAATCCTTAAGTGTTGGCAAAGTGTTCAAATTATTTTGCTCAACAGATGAGGTCCAAAACTGCAGCTCACTAGACAGTAAAAATATTTTATCTCTTGCATTAAAAATATTAGTGTTTTGGGGGTGGAGCGAGATGACGTAGGATGTGCTTCTGCGTCCTCGTGGAATGCGGCTGAGGGACTGACAGGAGGAGGGGTCTGAACCGGTCTCACCAGCGAAGATTCCCGGTATGCCGGCTGCTGCATATAAGACACGCCAGAAAAAGCCACAGATTGTGATCATGGCGGTCAGAATCAAAGGAAGCTAGCATGGGAGAGCATCCACAGGCTGCAAGCTGGGTCGAACAGCTATAAGCTAAGTACAAATTGTCACATAGCTGTCTGTACTTACTAGCAAGTTATATTACGAAATATTATGGGATAAGGGGATTGATGAGGTAATACAAATAAAAGTAAAAATAGGAACTTGAAAATGAAGAACAAATAAAGAATAGAGAATAGTAGATCACAATAAAATTTTATCAAACAGGCAATCAAAAAGGAAATTAAATAATTACACAATTCCCATCTATCCATCAAAACTAATTCAAATGGCACACTGACCGTAGTCCAAGCTGCAGGGCAGCCAATCAACAAGCGTTTGACTCGTGTGCCCTTAGAAGCCATCACAGCCATGCCTACTAATGGCATGGCTGTGATTGGCCAGTGCAGCATGTGACCCAGCCTCTATATAAGGTGGAGTCAGATGAGTTCTTATTAGTGTAGAGAGAGGATGCTGCAGCTGTCAGGGACAGATTAGGAAAGAATTCCGGTGTTGAATCTGCAAACTACAGCGATAATTTTAGTGGGTGCTATACTACATTTTTGTACCCTGCCCTGAGCCCAGTGCCACAGAGAGTGCAGTGCACTTGCAACTGCATGTGTGCCGGGCACATTACTTTAATCCTGTTCTGGTAGCTCAGTGGGCAACATCTAGGCATTTTTAAATATTGCGGTGACATTGCAGTTTGACTAATTCACATTTGTTTGGTGCTAAAAAGTATATTTGTGGCGTGCACTTCATATCTGAGAGTCAAATAGAACTGTCAAATACTGTGGTTACATCGCAGTTTGAAAAATTCAAATTTTTTGGGTGCTAAAGAGTACATTTGCTGCCTGCGGTGCACTTCATATCTGAGAGTCAAATAGAGCCGTCAAATACTGTGGTTACACTGCAGTTTGACTAATTCACATTTTTTTGGTGCTAAAAAGTACATTTGCGGCCTGCGGTGCATTTCTTGCAGTCCAATAAAAATAAAAATAATCACTGGAGAGAAATAGGAAGTACCCACCTACCCACCCGCGATCCCTGGCCCTGAATGCCAGCATTTAAAAAATCCTGGCCTTTGAAATGCTGTCATTCCATCTGGTGGAGAAAGACAGTTTTAAAAACCTGATGGCGGTGGCTGTCCCTTAGTACGTGGTTCCCAGCCACCACTACTTTTCCAGACGAGCCATCCCTTCCCTGCACAATCAATTGGCGGACAAAATCAGGTGTGCACTGCGCAACGCCATCTGTGGCAAGGTCCACATAATCACTGATACGTGGACCAGTAAGCACGGGCAGGGACACTATATCTCCCTAACTGCACACTGGGCAAATTTAGTGGCGGCTGGGCCTGAGGTGCATAGCAGTTTGGCGCATGTTCTTCGGCAGGGCATTTCTCTTTGCCTCCTGTTGCCTCCTCTGCCTACTCCACTTCCTCCTCCTCTACCACCTCCTCATCCGGTCAGCGTAACACCTGCACCACCAACTTTAGCACAGCCAGGGGGAAATGACAGCAGGCTGTTTTAAAACTCATATGTTCGGGGGAAAAGTGGGCCTAGTCGGTTTGACGCACATCCCTTGCCTGGCCAGATATATCAGAGCTGCTGCAGAATGTGCGTGCTTTTCGGCGTTCTCACCCTGCTGCTGCTCGCCTGTCTGTGCTGCAGCGTAACTTCGGCCTTCCCGCTCACACCTCATATGCGACGTGCCCACAAGGTGGAACTCCACCTTGCACATGCTGGAGTGACTGTGCGAGCAGCAGCAGGCGATAGTGGAGTTTCAGCTGCAGCACACACTGGTCAGTCACTCTGCGGAACAGCACCACTTCACCACCAATGAGTGGGCCTCCATGCGAGACCTGTGTGCCATGTTGCACTGTTTTGAGTACTCCACCAACATGGCCAGTGCCGATGACGCCGTTCTCAGCATTACTATCCTGCTTCTATGTCTCCTTGAAAAAGCGCTTTCGGCAATGATGGAAGAGGATGTGGCACAGGAGGAAGAGGAGGAGGAAGAGGGGTCATTTCCATAGTTACCAGGCTAGTCCTTCACAAGTGGCTCGGAGGGTGGGTTCCTGCACCAGCATAGGCCAGGTACACAATTGTCCAGCCAGGGCACAGTTCTGGAGGATGATGAGGATGAGGAGGAACCGTGTTCACAGCAGGGTGGCACCCAACGCAACTAGTGGGCATCACTGGCGCGTGGCTGGGGGGATACGGAGGACACAGACGATACACCTCCCACAGAGGACAGCTTATCCTTGCCTCTGGGCAGCCTGGCACACATGAGCGACTACATGCTGCAGTGCCTGCGCAACAACTGCCGAGTTGCCCACATTCTAACTTGTGCTGATCACTGGGTGGCCACCCTGCTGGATCCCTGTTACAAGGACAACGTGCCGTCCTTAATTCCCTCACTGGAGCGTGATCGGAAGATGCGCAACTACAAGCGCACGCTGGTAGACGCGCTGCTGAGGGCATTCCCAACTGGCACCGGGGCCCAGTGGAAGCACAAGGTGAAGGCAGAGGAGGAGGAAGAGGTCGCCAACGCAGGGTTAGCATGACCGAAATGTGGAAAAGCTTTGTCAGCACGCCACAACAACCAGCACCACCAGCTGATATGGAACGTCTTAGCAGGAGGCAGCATTTCAGCAACATGGTGGAATAGTACGTGTGCACATGCCTATACGTACTGAGTGATGGGTCTGCCCCATTCAACTTCTGGGTCTCCAAATTGGGCACATGGCCTGAGCTTGCCCTTTATGCCTTGGAGGCGCTGGCCTGCCCTGCAGCCAGTGTATTGTCTGAACATGTGTTTAGCATGGCAGGGGGTGTTATCAATTAACCCCTTAAGGACCAAACTTCTGGAATAAAAGGGAATCATGACATGTCAGACATGTCATGTGTCGGTAAGTGGTTAAACTGTTAATAGATCCTGACTGATTCCTCTCTTGCAACTGTCATTAGTCTAATACTATCCTTACGTTTTGGTTCGCTTTACCCCACACCCTCTAGCGCCCTCAATCACTCTGTTCCTGTGTGTCCAACTTGTCTGGTTACAACTACATGTCTGTTCGTCCACCCACTGTAAAGCGCTGCTGAATTTGTTGGCGCTATATAAGTAATAACATAATAATAATTTTAAAAAAATAACATTAGATACAGTTTTCCGTTCTACATCTACTAACAGGGTAAGTCTCTCTTACTCCATCACTGTTTCTAAATACGTTGTTTTATATATTTGCCTAACTAGATCAGCTGGTTACTGTTTTTTCTGCCTTCTATTATTTTCAGATTGGCAAGGCTCTTCCACAAGCCTCTTTCTCCAAAATTGGCAAACTAATTTTATTCATACAACTAAGATCTGTGTTTTGCATCTATTAGTGGGTGACCCCCACTGTTAATTTACAATCTCTGCAGTGGGTGACCCCCACTTTACCTTGTCTTTATATTAAACTGGTAATACCCTTAATTTGTCTGATTTATTTTACGGATTTAATATTCAAAAAGTGCTGACCCCATTTTCTTTAAAAATATATAAATAAGGAGAGTGGCTAACTCCTGATTAGTGGGGTTATTACTGATTAGTGTAACAGATTCATCCACACAAAGAAATGTTTATGTTGATATTTATCACCCTGACAGGAATAGTTGTACCCATCTGCAACTATGCGCCCGGATACCTGATAAACCCAGCATGTCTAGGGACGCCGGATCTATGCCACTTTAAAGCCCCATGGCGGCCCCCGTTGATGACCTCAATTGCCCTGATGCCTCCAGTCTGATCTCTGTAACCTCCTCCTTTGGCCTCACACAGTTGTCTACTTCAGCAACTAATACAGCAGGAAACACTCTTGACCTCATCTTCACCAATCTATGTATCACCTCTAATCTCTCCATTGTTCCATTTCCTTTGTCTGACCACCATCTGCTAACATTTGACATCAGCATATCCCGTACCCAAATTTCATTACCCTCAACTCTCCAATCTCGCAGAAACCTCAACTGCCTTGATCTCCAGCATTTCTCCACCAAACTCCAAACTCTCCTTTTACCCATCTCAAATCTAACTTTCCCTAACTCTGCAACCTCACTCTACAACTCAACTTTCTCCTCTCAACTTGACATCATGGCACATCTTACAATTAAACCCAGCAAGCGCCCCCAATTACAACCATGGCACACCAAGCTGACCCATTACCTCCAAAAATGTTCTAGAATGCTAAATGCTGCTGGAGAAAGTCTCACTTTGCATCTGACTTCCTCCACTATAAATTTATCCTACGCTCCTACAGCCTGGCTCTCTACGCTGCAAAAGTAAATTACTTTAACACCCTCATAAGTATACTGTCCCATCAACCAATACACCTATTTCACACTTTTGATGCTCTTCTTCGCCCTTTTACCCCCCCCCTTCCACCACCTTGTCTGCCACAAACTTTGCATCTCACTTCACTGAGAAGATCTCTACAATCAGAGAAGGGATAACTAATTTCTCTCCATCCCCTACCAATACATCACCCAACCCCACTACCTCCACCATTCTACACTCATTCGCACCTGCAACAGCAGAAGAGGTTTCTGCTCTACTCCAGTCGTCCTGCCCCACGACCTGTTTCCTCGATCCTATTCCCTCGTATCTCGTCCGCACTTTGTCTCCCTCTCTTGCTCTTCCTCTCACTAAAATGTTCAATCTCTCCCTTTCCTCTGGCACATTTCCCTCACCCTTCAAACATGCAACTGTAACCCCGATTCTGAAAAAGCCCAGCCTTGACCCCAACTCCCCATCCAACTACCGCCCTATCTCGCTACTGCCGTTTGACTCCAAGATCTTAGAGAGAGTTGTATACACCAGACTGACTGACTTTCTCAAATCCAACTCTCTGCTTGGCCCCCTTCAGCCTGGATTCTGCACTGGTCATTCTGTCGAAACGTCTGTGACCAAAGTATCCAACGATTTAATTGCTGCTAAATCTTGCGGCCTAATTCTCCTTGATCTTTCTGCTGCCTTTGACACTGTTGATCATCAACAGCTTCTTCGCATTCTCCGTAATTTTGGTCTATGGGATACTGCTCTCTCCTGGTGCTCCTCCTACTTCTCCCAGCGCTCTTTCAGTGTTTCTTTCTCTAACTCTACCTTTTCCCCCCAACCACTCTCTGTCGGCGTCCCCCAAGGTTTTGTCCCTGGTCCCCTACTGTTCTCTATCTATACTGCCTCCCTTGGTAAACTCATCAGCATCTTTGGCTTCCGTTATCATTTCTATGTGGATGACACGCAAATCTACCTGTCCTCTCCTGATCTCTCTCCACCCATCTTGACTCGTGTCTCTGACTGCCTCTCTGCGATTTCCAACTGGATTGCTGCTCACTTCCTTAAACTCAACCTGTCCAAAACAGAACTTCTGGTCTTTCCTACCTCAAGTGATACTATTCACGTATCTGTCTCCCTCCAAGTCAACGGGGCTACCATCCTGCAACTGTCAAAAATTACCTGCTAAGCCTTCAATGAATACTTTTCCAACAACCTACTTCGTATCCCTACTTTTACCCTTTGTGTCACTATACCCCACTCCCTCTAGAATGTAAGCTCATTGAGCAGGGCCCTCCACCTCTCTGTTCCTGTACATCCGATTGTCTGGTTAAAATTACATGTCTGTTAGTCCACCCACTGTACAGTGCTACAGAATGTGATGGCGCTATATAAATAATAATTTTCATGATTTCAAAGAGTGACAAATTTTCAGGCAAAAACAAAAAAACTGTAGACGTGATAATACTAATTAGAACAATTCCTCAGGGGAACCTCTTGGTCTGACACTGATAGTATTTCCAACAAGCAATAGAGGGGCAAGTCTAGAAATACAAGCATAGACAGAAACAGAGCACCCTCTGTCAAACCAACAGCTCAAAGAAGTATTCTCAAGGAGTCGGACAAGATAGTGTCTTTTCTGGATATACCTATCCCCGTTGATACCAATAATCTTTCCTCCATACCCGAGTCAGTTCCTTTTTTGGAACAGGGTCCCCATCGCCACCAAAGGGGGAGACTGCGGGACAGGGACAGATGGGGATACAAGCAGCAGAATCGCATAAAGAACTAAATCCCAATAGGATTATAAATCTTTCAGATTTCACATTATTACCCAGATGCACAAACTGCGAATGACCTAGGACTGACCCTTGAGGATTTTTATCTGGCACAAAACCTAATAGACCTCTTGGAGGAACAAAACCCTAATAAGCCACTGACTGACTTTAAACCAGAACGTTGGTTTACTCCCAACTTTAAGGAATTACCCCATGCTGATTTATTTGTCCAGATGACAACCACATTCAACTGTCTACAGCATTCATATGCTTGAGAGGATTCATATGCTTCTCTGGTTCGGTGGTTGTGGTGTCTGCTGCAGTGCTTGGAGTCCTCAGGAAGCGCTAGGAGCATCCTTTAACGGAGGTACCCAGTCGGGGTGCCAGGTGATCTGTTACATTGGTGGCAAGTGATGGGATCATTTCCACAGCCCAGAAGGACAGCTATAATACAACACCAGTTCCTGGATTACAAATTGAGGGCAACGCCAGTACCCGTACAGCGACCCTATCTACAAAAGAACCAACTTCAGCAGCGCAAGCATGGCACCCAGCTACACTCAGGAGCAGTATGACAGAGAGTTTACCATGCGGCTGGCTTTCTTTGGACCCAACCCCCCGGAGAAATACGTGCAGCTCGTAAGGAGCCAGGTAGACGAGTACCTGCAGTTCATGGGAGATCCAGCCAAAGGTATCGGCCGCCCTATCCGGTGGCAGAGTGCGTTACAGGGACTCAAAGGTGTACCCCAGGGAGCTGAAGGTGTCGTCCTTCCTCCCCAGCGGCAGAGTAAGTCCCAGGGAGCTGAAGGTGCAGTCCTTCCTCCCCAGCTGCAGTGTGTATCCCAGGGAGCTGAAGGTGCAGTCCTTCCTCCCCAGCGGCAGTGTGTATCCCAGGGAGCTGAAGGTGCAGTCCTTCCTCCCCAGCGGCAGTGTGTATCCCAGGGAGCTGAAGGTGCAGTCCTTCCTCCCCAGCGGCAGTGTGTATCCCAGGGAGCTGAAGGTGCAGTCCTTCCTCCCAAGCGGCAGTGTGTATCCCAGGGAGCTGAAGGTGCAGTCCTTCCTCCCCAGCGGCAGTGTGTATCCCAGGGAGCTGAAGGTGCAGTCCTTCCTCCCCAGCGACAGTGTGTATCCCAGGGAGCTGAAGGTGCAGTCCTTCCTCCCCAGCGGCAGTGTGTATCCCAGGGAGCTGAAGGTGCAGTCCTTCCTCCCCAGCGGCAGTGTGTATCCCAGGGAGCTGAAGGTGCAGTCCTTCCTCACCAGCGGCAGTGTGTATCCCAGGGAACTGAAGGTGTCGTCCTTCCTCCCCAGCGGCAGTGTGTGTTCTTAGGAGAGGAGACAGTTGGTCCCTCTCCCCAGCGGTCAAGTGAGTCCCAGGGAGCTGAAGGTGTCATCCTTCCTCCCCAGCGGCAGATTGTATCCCAGGGAGCTGAAGGTGTCGTCCTTCCTCCCCAGCGGCAGAGTGTCCTGCAGGGAGCAGAGACCGTCAGTCTTGCACCCCAGCATCAGGACAAAATATTGAAAGGGGAGACAGCTGGTCCCCCTCACCACCAGCAGAGAGAGTGTAAGGGAGAGGAGCCTGCTACCCCCTCTCCCCAGCGGCAGGTTACAGTTCAGAGAGAGGAGCTTGTTACACCCTCTCTCCAGTGGCAGCCTAACCCACCAAGGGGAGATGTTGCACCCCCCAACAGTGCAGATGGGACCGAAGTCTTTGCACTTGCAGCACAAGAGGTAGGGACGGTCAGTCCTGTCCCCCAGCCCCAGAGCTGTGTACCCAGAGGGGAGACGGTTGGTCTCCCCCTCCCACAACCAGGCTCCAACCAGGCTACTTCAGTGGTA